CCCCGCTCCACACCCCCGGCTCCGCGCCCAGCCGAATACGCCCGTACCAGGCTGCCCAGAGCACCGACGGAGCCCCTTTCGCCACGGCACCTGCCCGAGCCCCCGTGCGGTACGACCCCCACCCCCCAACAGGTAAGGTTCACCCCCTACCGCGGACCCCATCCTCGCGGAGGAGGGAGTTCTTCGCGTGTGGGGCGTACGTACGTACGTGCATGCAAACCTGTCGGCAGAATTGGGACGTTCCCACCCGGGCGATAACGTGCACTGGCAAGCCCCTGATGGGCACGGTCAGGTTTCTTATGGGCTGGGACACTCTTGGCACGCCGCTGCAGGGCGATCATTTGGCATTGGATACTCTTAGACGCGGATGGGTCGTTTGATGTAGCGTGTTTTCATACGCGTGGGACACTTGGGAGGAAAATGAAAATTGGAAAATTGGCTGATGAGCTAGAGCCGAATTTAGTTTTGGCAGACGGCGCCGGTAGGTAGGCAACGCGCTGAACTTGAAATCGCCCTCGCTCGTCTGTATGTTTGGTGGCCTACCTACCGGCGCCATCTCTCAGAATTACAATAGGCAGAAGCTTAAGCTATTTTCCTGAAGGGTACTTCCCTCCATGCCCCCCCCCCCCCTCCCCGGCCCCAATTCCCCCTTTTCCTTGCACGCCCCCGAAGTGTGCCCAATCGGTCAAAAATCGCCTTGTGGTGCGGCGTGCGAGCGAGGGTGTGAACTAAGCATGTTCCGATATTCTGTTTATTCATCTTTTACTACATCGGCGAAATATTACCAGAAACAAACATTTATCTTCTCCTAAAACTTACCGTGTAAACTTATCGAACCCAACTAATATTTGCTTGCATAGGTTGGCTAGCGTGTCTCAACTGACAGAAGTAGTGTTAATGTAAACAGTAGCCAGAGCACAGTGAAAAAAGACATGAATTTGCTCAAAAATCTTGATACCCTCCGTCGGTTTGACTCATTTTCAAAAACTATAGAAGACTTTCGAGTCAAGACATCTGGCGGTGGCCTAGGTACAACATGACTTGTCTTTTATGCACTGTTTTCCATGGGCAACCCCGGTTATTTTGAGGTTATCTCAATTGACAACACGACAAACATCTCTGCATATCTGTCGACTTCATAAATCATTGGCTCCTTCCTAAATCTTTTCTAGT